GTCAGTTTCTAATACTATTGTGATAAGCAATAAAGCACTCATGAGCACTTTACTTTTCATTTTCGGTGAGTTTTAATACTCTACATTTGGTATTTTTTCCTTCTTTTAGAAATGATACTTTTGTACTATAATAAATTGAATGTTCTTGTAATTGCTCTGTATATTGCCTCAGTCAGATACATTTAATGCTTAAAATCATGTGTCATTTATATTTTTCTCTTAACCTCATAATTTGATGTAATTAGATTTAGGAAGGAAGAATTCCAGCTTCTAATTCCCAATAGGGGAGTTTATATTTTCTTAACCTCATGATTTGATGCTGTAATTATATTTAGAAAGGAAAAAGTCCCTAATTGTGACGCAGATTTGTTTTGTTGAAGTTTTCTTTTGGGAAACAGTGAAATGTTATTAAAAAACGATAAAGATTAAGGAGAAGATGATTTTTATGAGTTTTTTTTATTTTTTATTATACAGCTACAACTTTGACGAGCTGGCACTTACTGGTAACTTTCTGTTCTCTTCATGTGGCATTATGATTGAAATTCTTCGATCACAAACCAATAGAATCACAAACTGTAATTGGATTTGGTATTCTGAATGGGATTTCAATTGGATTATTGAACCTCAGCTTGGTTTCAATTCTGTTGGTTTCTATCGGGTATCTCTATTTCTTTGCTATCTACTTACAATGTTCAGCGTCGAACTGTTTCTCACTGATGTTTCCGAATTGAGTATTTATTATTTTACTTTACTAGATGACAAAGCTGGCAATCATCCCATGCACAGTACTGTTGGAAACTCTTTTCCTAAGCAAGAATTTCAGGTGGGTCACCACACATTTGAGCCCTTTCTTGGCACAGCAGTTGGTGACTATATGCTTCCTAGATATTGTATCACTTTTGTAGTTTATGCTGGCTCCTTGATCATTATATGAAAGTTTTTCTCCGCCCACTTGTTAGATTTTATTACAACATGTAGTTTGGAACATTTTCTCCTCCACTCATTAGATTTTTTTAGGAAGCTTCATCAAATGGATCTTTGTTTCCAAATCCATTGACCATTTTGATCTGCATAGTCCTTGAAAGATGCATGACAGCAACCATCCCCTAAATGAAGTAGTAGGTTGCTGACGAAGCATGATCGCTGGACTTTCCAATGAATAAATCATGACTTTGGCAGAATATAATGTGAGGCTCTTAATACTTATGAAAAATGTACATGACTGAACTGGACATTCATGTATTTTTCTTGCAACTTTTAATTGGACATGTGCAATTTGTCACTAAATTCCTTTAGATTAGAGTAGATCTTACTTTTGTACAATTAACATTTTCTTTCATCCTCCCAACTGTGGATTTTTTCCCCAATAATTTCCATATCTTTTGTTTTGCCATATTGCATTTATTTTGCAGTCAAAGCGTTAAGCTTTCTCTGATGGTCCTGCTTCTAGTTGTTGGCATTGCAACTGTTACTGACCTACAGCTCAACATTCTGGGTTCTGTTCTTTCTCTTCTTGCAGTTTTCATCACTTGTATTGCTCAAATTGTGTCCATTATAAATTGTTCTTTTCCTTCACCGGTTGCGCAACCTACCAGCTCTTAACTTTTGATGCATGTGTCGAAGTCAAATTTATAGAAGGGATGCTGGTAAGGAATTACAAGAGTGATAAAGAGGACTGCAGTAGCTTTTAAGATACGATGCTTCTAGTAGTTTAGGATACTCAAGAGGACTCATATTTTTGGAGTCAATTGAAAAGCTAAATAAGCTGCAGCTGCTGGCGTAATTTGATTATGAACTAATTACCAGAGAACTAGAAGACAAGCACTGCCATGATATGACAACATACAAAAACCCTTTGGCGACCAACTATAAAGAATGGATGCCAATTCTTAATCATTCCTTATTTCTAAAGGAAAAGCTAAAGGACTTGTTTCACTCTTTGTTGGATTAAAAGTTAAAAAATCTAAAGCCACTGAGATTTTTACTAGGGGCCTGTTTGGTACAGATTCTCATTTTCTATAGTAAATCAATTCTCATTTTCAACCACAAATTTTTCAATAAAATAATATTTTCCATCACATCAATACTTTTTTCTCCTTTTTCAACCACACATTTCCCATCATTTCACTATTCAAAAATCAATTCTTCCTCCAAAAATCCCTACCAAACACACTCTAGGTCTCCACAATTTTCATGCATNCCTTTTTCAACCACACATTTCCCATCATTTCACTATTCAAAAATCAATTCTTCCTCCAAAAATCCCTACCAAACACACTCTAGGCCTCCACAATTTTCATGCATGATGCCCAGCTGGGAGTAGATGCCAAAATTCAGACATTAGGATATTTATCAATCTCATGACATCTACCTCTTTTAGAGCATCTAAAAAAATTGAGCTAACCTATTATTATCCTTGTCAAAGGAGATCACTCCCCCCTTTCACTTTTCTGTAAACATCAAGTTTTTGCCCTTTCATAAGCATCTCACAATCATTTAAGGCATTCCCCTCATGAATGGGAGAAACAACCTAAAGCCACCTAAGACCAAGTGAGAACCGGTAATATCTCTAAACTGAGCAGATAATATTCCCAATATGGTCTCATGTATCTCGACATCCTTTGTATGCCCTATGTCTTTTCTGTTTACATTTTCTACTTTAGAGGAATCACATAATCATCTCGCAACATTTCAAGGTCTTCATTTATCATTTTGTAATTTTGTACAAGCTAATTGTTGAAGAGGGAGAGGTGGATGACGTGGCCTGTCGTTTGTGTTGTTGTATAAGTTAATGCATCCTGAGTAAACATTTATGAAAAGTCTATTTTAGGCAATATGTTTCATCTTGCACTAAAATCGCTGCTTTTGATTATGGAGCCTAACAGTTCTTTCAGATGACCAATACCATCCAAAAAAAATTTCAAGGTTTCTTCAACCCAACTGCTGTATCAATCATGTCCATATCAAGCAATAACCTTGCTCATCTCTGGTCCATTTCTGGATAGGCTTTTGACTAACCAAAATGTCTTTTCTTTCAATTATACGCCAAAACTAGTGGTAAGTAGTTAAATTTATAAGATCAGTCACTTTTCTTTCGTGAATATAATGTATATGAAGGCCTGATATCATTATCAATATTGCAGTTTTTCATTGTTCTTGTCCTGCTTGATCTCCGTCTCTGTTAATTTTAGCACATTCCTTGTGATTGGAAAGACGTCCCCCCATCACCTATCAGGTTCTTGGACACCTTAAAACTTGTCTAGTATTAGCATTCAGCTACGTCTTACTGAGTAATCCATTTAGTTGGAGGAATATTTTTGGAATAATGGTTGCACTAGTTGGGATGGTTATGCATTCATATTACTGTGTTCTTGAGAATCAGAAAAAGCTTCAGAAGCATCGGTGCAACTGCAGGTACTAGATAATGTTATTTGTCTTCCAAAATCTAACAATTAGCAATTACTTTATGAAATTTTATCTTCAATGAGACAGATATGTAATGGCTATATTACTTGTACTGGTTTCAGTTTTTGGTTATTGTCCAACATTCAGGAAAAGGATACTGAATCTGATTCCCTTTTACATGATGAGAATGGCACTGGGACGCTAAATGATGTTGAGGTCCCAAAGGGCACTGCATGGAAATCAAACAAGGATTTTCATGCCTGATATGGAAGCATGGGCGGATTGTTTACTTGACAATTCAGTGTGTTGAATAGATTTTCAAGTGATAAAAATGAAGCCTTTCCCGAGTCTCAAAAAAGATCATGTGAGTTTAGGAGCACCTTTGTCTTATTTCTCTTGTGCTTAAAAGTTTTTAGTATACAATGCTAACTTTCTTTAGTGAGGATTTTCACTTAATTAACATTGTTCCTGAATTCTGCTGAGAATAAGAATACTTCGAGCTTATATATATTGATTGCCTTGTAATTTAGCTCATTAGTTTTATTACGAAGGGCAACTCTGAATTTTGGTGTATTTGTCAAGTTGAAAGTGGATTTTTTTGCCGACTCTTTTTGCTTTTCGATTCTTATCATATTTTTCGGGTTGTCTTTGCTTTGACTCTTTGATCGAGAAACTTAAGAAATCCAAAGAGGCTATAAGAACTGCGAAGTAGATCATGACTATTTGCTCCTGTTGTAGTAAGTAGTTAATTTTGGTGAATGTAGACAGAGCTACTCTAGGGAAAATGGGTCATGTCCATGTTTATATTGCTGAAAAACCATTATTAGGCCTTGAGGTTCACCCCAAACCTTAGGTCCTTAACATTAACCCAAGTTAATGAATTGTCATGGATCTGGGGAGGATGGTTAACAGAATAACAGTTCAGGAGATGGGGCTTCCAAGTCATTCTGTCAATCTTCCATTCTAGATTTAGTTCCGAGTCCAATCTGTGTAAATGAGAGTACAAAGCATAACGCCTGTGCATAAAACTTGTGCTGCTGAGAGGCAATTGATGTCAAAGCAAGATTTTTTAATCTCCCGTTTAAACATTGAGCTGAAAAATCTCTTGCTGGAATGGTATTGCAAAAATCCCTGTGAAATTGCCACATTACTCACCAGCCTCTAATTCATGGCTTATCATTATTGACAATCCTGAGCTCATGGAAGAACTTGTTTTTATGAGAATACACATTGCAGCCACGTTGGCCTTGGGTTGCTTAGTAGAATGAACCAGCAACAGTATTTGAAGACAATTATGCATACAATTGCATTTGGGCTGGCAAGGGCCACGAATGGCTGCCAGCCTGCGAAGAATGTGATTGCTTATGGCCCTGCCCTGTACCGTGGTTTAAGGGAGTGAGTTGATGGCGTTGAACTTTGATGAGGCCATCTGGAAATTATTCTAATGTTCTTGCTGTCTCATTTTTGAACGACAGATTGCG